TGCAAATTTTCTTTGGGTTGGAGGTCTTACTTACTGTAGTCCTTCGTGAATCCTTGGGGTATTGAGACTGTTTTGTTTTTTATGTGCCAGTTCTTTTGCTGGTTTATTCTCATCTGGAATCCTTTTTCAATCAGGGATACAGGTTGCAGGGGTACTGTTCTTGCTGGGGAACCTCTCCTGCTTATTGGACGCACCCAGTGGCCTCTATCGCTCCTATTCCTTCCGCACGTGAGACGGCTTCCCGTACAGTCACCTTCAAGCCTTGTGAACGTATCGCTGGTGCACACTTGCTGCCGTTCACTTTGAATTATCCACATTGTTCTCTTGTGATTTCAGAGTGTTTCTGTGAGAAGTTACACAGTAGCTCTGCTGATTTACTGCTTTTTTGCTCCGCTTGCGTATAATTTAGTTCTGCACGTTGCCCCCGAATTACACCTGAGCTCTTGTTTCTTGAAATGTGAAACTTTGTCGCTGCTCATGCGATTGGCCCAATGTCTCTATCAGCATCATGCTAACTAGGAAATATGTTTGTTAATGAGACAGACCATGTGCACGACGTATTATGTCTGGTAGAGTTAATACTTGTAGAAATACTACGGTGAGTCCATGTGCATGTGAAGTCACATGTTTTATAAACCCAACATAATGGACTGCATCTTAGGGTATCTGACATTTCTATTATAATGAAGTCTAACAGTTTCATATTAAAAGAGAGAAAATGTGCCATTTATAGAAATTCCCTGATATCTTGTAGTTCATATATGAAATGAATTTGATAGGTGTTTTCTTAAATTGACAATACTTCTAAAATTTTACATGACTTTACCAATAATGAGCTGTGAAGGTAAGGAAATTTTTCCATGCCACGCATAATAACTGGAAGTGAATTGTGATCAAGCATGATATGGAAAGAATCTCTCTGTTTTCTCTAGAGAAAAGAAAATTTTCAGTTTACTTTCACGTGAGAACCAGTCACCAAGGTTACAGTGAGCTACAATTGTGCCACTGCACTCCAGCCTGGGCAACAGAGTAGTAAATAAATAAATAGTGAGAGCTAATCAAAGACTAAGCAGCCACTGATAAAGAGAAAATATATTTAATAGTATATCCATTTATTACTTAATATAAATATAGTGGTTTTTGTACTTTTTGATGTTTCTTTGGTATTTTTCATCCTTCTTAAGTATATAATTCATTGTGATTTATTTGCTACTTATAATGTTCATCCAGAGAGATAATCATGTATTTATAGTTTTGTATTATTTACTTAAAGAGGTTCCCTCTAAAACTCTATAAGCATCAGGGCCCATGCAGTTTTGTACATCATTGACTAGTTCCCTGGAACAAGTCAGTTTACCTATGGTCCAAGTCTGAGGAGGAGATGAGATTTTTTGGAGGAAGGTCCCTGCAATACCCATCATGATTGTGAGGACCAGAACTCCATCACTGCTGGTAAGGAGAGTGGGCAATAGCCTTTGGCCTGCAGTAGCATATATTTACTAGGTCTTTGTTCTATTAAAATGAATTAGCTGTCAACGACCTCTAACACTTGATGGCTCCTCAGTGGCTCTGATGAGCTGGGCCAGGTCCAGCTGGTTCTGAATAGGCCTGCTGGTGCTACTGTAGTTAGTCAACTGGTTGGCTGATGCTGGGTGGTTTAGGTTGGTTGTAGCTGAGATGACTCATCTCCTGCCTCCCCCAGGTGGTCTCTCACCCTCTAAGAGGCCTGATCCTGTTCACGTGGCAACTGGGCAGGTACCAAGACAGAGAAGAAAGCACATGGGACTTCTTAAGTCTGGATTCCAAACTGATGCACCATCACATCTGCTGCATTCTACTGGCCAAAGCAACCAGGTGTCTCCTTTCTTAAAAACAGTAAGGAATGCTCTGTTAAAGAGTCTTAACATCCTTGAG